CCGCCCGCACTCCCGCCTCCCTGGGACCATGGGGCATTAGCCGAGGAGGAAACATGCTGGCCCTGCGCTGCGCTCTGCTGACCGCCCTGCTTGCCGCTCCAGGGGCGGCGCTGGCCCCGGGGAGCTGCCCCGCGCTGGGTAAGGGCTTCGGGCGCACCTGAAGGGCTGGGGCAGCTGGCGGGTGGGGGAACCGCTGCGGCCGCCGCAGACGCGGGGCGGCGGAGAGCAGGAGGGGTGACGGCTCTCCCTGTCCGGGGCTAGCTTGGGTCCCCGCCACCCAGTGCGGCCCCGGGCTGCCCCGGCCGTCCCGTGGCGGGCGCTCGCTCGCGCGCCCCCTGCTGCGTCCCGCGCCGTTGGTCGGGCGCGCTCTCCCCGTGACTGCCCTGGGGCCGGGAGGCTCCCTGCGGTCTGCGTACAGGACTTGGTGTGTTCTCGGAAACCCGATTCTCGGGTCTCCTGCCCAGTGCGCCCAGGGGTCCTTACACAACTGCGTCCCGGATTACTTTAAAAGGAGATGCCCTAGCCGGGTGGAGTTCTTGCGCGGGGCGTCCTTAGTACCGGCGCCCCCTTTGCCCCTCAGGTTTGGGGAAGGCATCCCGCCTGGCTTCTCCCCTCAGACCCCTGGGTTTATGTGTGGGTAACAGTGCCCTTACAGTGAAGGGGCTGACATCATGGACGCTGAGTCACAGACCCTCCCGCTACCCGCTACCCGCTCGCGCTTAGGCAGACACCAGCTCTAGCAAGCTGTGTACCGCAGCCTTGGGAGTTTAACCTAAGTGGGGAGGTCGGCCAGGGACTGGGGCGTCTTGGGGCTGGCACACACGAGACTCCCCTTCCAGACGAGAGAAGGAGGGGTGAGACAGAGGGCAGGGGGCACTTGTTGCTCCTGTGGACTGTAATCTGTCTCTGGCTGGCAGTCCTTTCTCTGGGCTCTGGCCGCATGCCCAGCTGCGTGTCTAGCCTCTTCTCCGGAGGAGCTGGGCAACTGCTTCTCCAGTGGTTATTTTAGGGTCTGAGGGCTTCTTTGAGGGCACAGCGGAAAGCCAAAGGGGCAGCTGGCAGGCTTCTGGAAACAGATGGCTGGGGCGACCTTGCCTCTGGCTTTCACTGCTACACCGCACGACACTCCTGCCCTGGGTGAACACCGCCAGCCTGATCTCTCCCTGCTGGAGGAATCTGGAGGCTGGTGCGCCTGCAGCTCCCTCTGCTTTCTGAATAGTTGTGTTCCCTGTGCTTGGAAGAGGAAAGTAAAGGGATTCCTTTTCTCAGCACACGTTTATAACGCCTGCCAATAACAGCCATTGTTGATTGAGGCCTCCTGTGCTTTAGACATATTTTCTAATCTTCCACTGTACCTAAATAATACGTTGTTCCAAAGAGGAGGCTGAGGTTCAGAGAGGTTGGGGTGGGAGGCTGTCAGACCCAGTTGGCTGAAGCCCACCCCTGCGTGGCCCTGTGCTCCAGTGCGGTAGATCCCTAAGACTCCCACATGTAGAATTAGCCCAGCAGGCAGAGCTGGGGGTGTTCGGGGGCAAGCTGAGAGTCACCCCTGGTCTGCTGAGCGCTGTGCAGAAGAGGCCAAGTGAAGGGAAGACCTGGGTTTGCCCACTGTGCTGTCAGAGGGACGCAAGGCAGGTTTGAAGCCTGGGCTGGCCGGAAAGGAGCAAGGCTTCCCTGTCTGCCTCTGTTGCTACTCACACCGCACCCCAGGGCACCTGCCCCAGGGGGGTTACTGTTGTAGCTGCTGCTTCCTTTGCTCCTAAGTGGTTGCAAGGTACTGCGAGGACGGTCAGTTGCAGTCAGTTCCCCATTTTCCTGGTGCTCAGGTGGAATGGGCAGAGTGGTCTCAAGGCCTGGACAGGCTGTGAAAAGCAGAACTGAGAGTTTGGGGAGGAAGTGAAAGCTCTCCCGGTTAAGAAGGAAAATGCAGAGAAGTAGAAAATACCCAGCTCCCCTCCCACACCTCCGCAGACTCAGCCACAAACTTGAGAGCAAAAATAAAGACACTGTACAGGAAGCATGGAGCAAATGACTGTGAGATGTCTTGCTTTGGAGGAGTGAGGGGCCGACGAGGGGAACAGAGGCTGGAGTTGGTTTAGAGGGGAAATCCGCTGGCTCTCGGGGCTGTGGGCTCTCATAGCCAGGAGGCATGCTTTCCTTGGGATTAGGCGCTGCCCACACATCCCAGAGCTGGCAGGACCGCTCAGGTGAACTTGCTGTCTTGGAGCCTGGACTAGCTGGGACGTAGGTGTCGTGTTGGGTGTGGAAGGCTTCAGCGTCAGTGACTCAGGTTCCTTCCGCCTTCTGCAATGCAGGCCCGTACACAAAACAAACATGTACACGTTTAAATCTCTCAGAGTTCTGTCTCAACCTCTGAACTCCCTTTTAGGGCAACCTCTTTCTTCCCCCAGTGCCTACTTGCATTCCTAGCATCACCTAAGTCAGGGTGGTTCTGGGTCTAGTTTCATCAGAATTGGGATATATGTGTGTGTGTGTATGTGTGCACGCGTGTGCACTGGGGGTGGGGATAGGCGCGGGACAAAATTACTGATTATTGGATTCTTGGCCCCCACCCCAGATTTACTGAAGAGAAACATCTGGGAGTGAGGCTCAGAAAATATGCTTTTCAATAAGTGCCACTTGTGATTCGAAAATTTGAGGCTGACTGGCTAAACAGAGTGATTGAGGAACCAAACGACGGCCCTCCCCCGTCGGGCTTCAGATTGCTAGAAATCTCTCTTTGCTTTGGCTCTGCCTCTTGTTTACTGACTGCAGCAAACATTTATTGAGTCTCGAGAAGACCTGGGATCAGCCACCCAGCTTCTAACCTAAAAGGAGCTTGAAAATGGTCAAGAGTAAGTCCCCAAGAGGGACCGAGAAAACCCTCATGACCCATCTTGCTTGGTACCAGCCCCCCAAGGACAAGTTGTCCAGGGGAGGTGGCTGGACCAAGACCCCGAGGCAGCAGGCACGGTGACCCTCGCTGCATTTTCTCATCTCAGCGTCTCCTCCTGCAGGCTTGGTTAACAAATCCTCCCCTTACAGGGTGTTGGTAAGGATTACACAGAGCCACCCAGGTGCTCACTGCTGTAAATGTGCCTCCCCTCAGGTTCTCCTGTCCCAGCAGGCCTGTGTGCCGCTGACCCAGTGAGCCAGAGCATTCCGATCACCAAATCTGGGCTTTTCCAGGGCTTAAAGGTCTAGAGCTGTGCTCTCTAATATGGTGGCCACTTACTAAGCGTGGCTATTTGAATTTAAATTAATAAAAATGAAATCACATTTGAAATGTAGTTCCTTAGTTGCACCAGTCACACCTGGCTACCATATTGGACGGCACTGACATAGAGCATTTCCATCTTAGTAGAACGGAAGGTTCTATTGGGCAGTACTGGTCTAGAGAGCTAAACTGTCTCTTCCAGAGGTTTGCTGTTGCTGCTTCTTTTATCCCTTTCTGGACCTTCTCTTCATGCAGTTCATCCTGTACAGGCAATGGTTAAGGTTTTGGACCCAGACTTTCTCTGCCCAGCCTCACCATGGAGAAATAATATGAGCTTGGGGGAGGGGTTTCACCTCCTGGAGACTCACGGTCCTCGTCTAGAAAATAGAAGTAATTCATATACTAACCTGCTGGGTGGTTATGAAGCTGAAATGCACTAAGTAAGGTATTATACAGAGTGTACAGAGATGTTTCTAGCACAGAGCAAATGCTTAAATATGTGTAGGTGATAATTTGTTCATTTGAAATAAAATGTTCTGAACTCCTCCTGTGTTCCAGGCTCTATTCTGAGCTGTGGATACAGCAGTGAGCAAAACGGACAAAAATCCCTGGCTCATTGGGCCTTTATTCTAGAGGAGGTGTAAGTTTTTCTTTTTTAATTTTTTTAACTTTTAATTTTAAATTTTTTGAGTTTTCTTGGGGTGGGCGTAACTAGGTATTTGTTTCTATTGAGGTTACTGGGGATCGAACCCAGGACCGCGTGCATGCTACACATGCACTCTACACTGAGCTACACCCTCCCCCCTAGTGGGGATGTTAGTGAAATATAGTGTGATGGGGACTAGTGCTAAGGAGGAAAAATAAAGTAGGGGAGAGAGAGAGGAACTGTGTGTATGTGTTGAGGGGGATGTTGGATCCATCTTTTTGAGGGGAGGCCAGGGAAGTTCACACCAAGCCGATGATATGTGAATGAAAGTCTGAGGAAATGCAAAAATATTTAGGAAGTCCTTAAACTCCCATCTTGGGAAGGAAAATTCCTGCCTCCTCATGAATAGTCTGGTACTACCTGCGGGCCTGTTGGGTTCTGGAGCAGAGGGCTGTGGTGGGCAGACACGGGTGCCCCCAGTTCTGATGAAGCCTGGGGTTGTCTCTGGGGAAACTAGGCCTCAGCCGTTGGGCCCCTTAGGCTCCAGCTGGACGGAGAAATGCTGAATGTCCCACCATTGACTTTCCTGGAGGTACGGGAATCCTTGAGGGCTGGAGTGGCAAGGCGAAGGTGGCAAAAAAAGGGCTTTTAATTGTCAGACCCTCTGTTTGGTGAAGCTCTGGGGAGCTTCTTTTGGGTGATCTGTGTGCTTTACTCTCCTCCAGGCTTGAGATCCAAAAGGATCCAAAGCCTCTGCAGAGTCAGGGGCTTTTCTGGCACAGTCCTGGGTTTGTCCTGATTTCTGGCCATGCCTCCGCAGGCTGCCCAGCTCCCACCTGCCCCCGGCCGGCTCTACCCCCTGGCTCTGCCCTTAGGAGTGTGCCCCCTGCACTTTGGCCGCACATCCAGGCTATCTCCCCACACCTCCCAGTTTCCTTTCCTGAAAAGCGTCCTTTGGTCTTCCCTCTACCTGATGGTTACAACTGTTACCACATCGAGTGCCAACAGTGTGCACGGAGCTGTGCTGGCTCTTTGCACCCGGGACCTCATTTACTCTTCACGGCAGCTGGATGCGACAGGAGTGTTAGGCCATTGCATGCATGGGGTGGGCTAGAGGACGGCAGGTTTTGTTGGAGGCGGGGGGAGATCAGGGGGTCAGTCTGGACATATTGGAACTGAACTGTCTGTTGGACAAGGGAGAGAAGATGCTGAGGAGTTGGATACGGGAGTCGGAGTTTGGGAATGAGAACCGAATTGTATGAATTTGGGAGTCGG